TCAGCTCCAAAACTTCCCTTGAAATGGAGTCCAAGCATTCACCTTCCTTCTTGATTTTTTTATTTCTTCTCAATTTTCTCATCTCTTTTTTCCCAGATTGAATAAACACCTTGCTCACACGATCATTATTCACTCGTGAATCACTTGTTATGTGCTCGCCAACATTAATCTCATCATGTGCATTACACAAACTAGAATAAGTTGAGGACTCGAGTGTCCTGGATAGACATGAATGGAAAAACCTTAGAGCTCCAAGTCTTTCTAGCTGTTCCATAATGTCCTTTTCCAACCTTGTGTCATTGGAATATGCAAACAACTCTTCTAGCTCATCGAGATTTTTCATTAGTAATCTGTATTGTGATGGTTGGCTTGATTGCAAGCGAGTTAGGTGTGCCTGTTTATCCTCGATTTTAGAGATTTCATTGTCTTTGTCAAGCAAAATGTATAAATCATCACTGGAATCATTCCCAAGTGCCACCTGAATAGATAGAATATATATATATATAAGCAAAAAAAGAAAAATCAATGTTGAAACTCTTCAAGGAGAACTACAAACAAGTGCTTGCAAATGGAAATACATAAACAACTTAGCCCGAGCATTTACCAAAAGGCAAAAGCTTAAACTTAACGGAAACAGGTTTGTATAGTATAAGCAGAAAGTAGTAGACAATTGGAAATTGGTAAATTTTGCAAATAAAAGCTATAAGGCCAATAATTATAATAGTGCTTTTATTTGAGTGAATAATGCTTTCTGTATATATAGTTGAATCATGCAGAATCAGAGGTAGAAGACAGACATTATTAAAGTGTTTGCAAACTGATGCAGGGAAGTGTACGAGTGGGACGATATTAATGAGATCTCAATCTCAAGAACATCTAAACACGATAAACACTCAATTTCTTATTTTCATTCAATAATCAACTCCCATAATAACAAAGAACAAGAGCCCTTTAAATAACAATCTTAAACTAAACCCTAACTTATTCTCCAAGCTAACTAATAATAATACTAATAATAATAATAATCATCATCATCATCATCATCATCATCATCATTATTCATTATTCTGCATCATTCTCCCCCGGTTGAGCAGGATTCGCCCTCGAATCCGACACGTTCCCGTTTGATACGTCCCAATGACATGACAGGAATAGCCCAGCGTTTCCCCCTGTCGAACATGAAGGTTGAACGATGTTGTGATCTACCTTGGCTAGCCTTAAAATACTCGGTTGCTCGAATGGCACTTCTCCTCTCCTCAACTTGAGTTACTCGGCCAACCCAAACAAATACTTCTAAAGCCTTTGCTCTTTTCTGGATATTGGAGTTTACAACATTGAACTGCTTCAATATATATAACCGCATATCAAACACTTCTGCTTCAAATTTCTTAAATCTAGATGCAACACCACCTTCAAGGGGTATGAAAGATGGATTAAAATATGTCAAACATTTGTTAGACTCGTGCCCGTGTAATTCTCTATACTGCCCAACACGGTCACCAAGAATCGCATCAAGTGCAATGGTTTTGATAGCAACAGTTCTAGCTTCATCCTCCGGCCCCGAAGGCTCCTCATTGAAAATTGGCGGACCATCGTTCAATAGCCCGTCATCTTCCTCAAAAATCACACTCTGTTGCCGCACATCTTGGTCGTCGTGCGCAGCAACGAGCTTAGTCTCGATGGTCAGAGGCAGCCACTCTCCGAAGGATCCACCTCCAAGATGGTCTCCTCGCCGTCTGCATCGCCGGCCGGCGGTTGTGGAGATCGCCGACGGGGCGCCCCGTCTGGAACACGACCTCCACTTCCTCCGTGAACTCCCTCGCGCACACCCCGGTCGTCGTCGGCACGGCTCATCTGCAAATCTCAGACCACGTTGTTAAGCGTCAAAGCAAATCCTCGATCCCCGTCGAAAGATCTGCAAACCAATCCGTGAAACACACGTCCAACTGTTCAAATCGGTAGTCGGTCTGTTGAAACCGATCATTGAAGGTTGCATCACTTCGTTTGTTTGCGACATCGTGAATCGTACTGGCTGCTGATACTGATACCAACTGATGTAAGGAAGCATACGAGTGGGACTGACTGCGGATACCAACTGATGTAGGAAAGCGTACGAGTGGGACGATATTAATGAGATCTCAATCTCAAGAACATCTAAACACGATAAACACTCAATTTCTTATTTTCATTCAATAATCAACTCTCATAATAACAAAGCACAAGAGCCCTTTAAATAACAATCTTAAACTAAACCCTAACTTATTCTCCAAGCTAATAATAATAATAATAATAATAATAATAATAATAATAAATATTATTATTATTATTATTATTATTATTATTATTATTATTATTATTATTCTGCATCACAAACACTAGCCAAAAGCTTATGCCAAAAGTACCCTGCAACTAGCTCATTAATATCTCTCAGTGAAAACAATATAGAAACAAAGTTACCTTCGATTCTTTAGCTCTCAAGTAATAGTTTTCCAGAATTTGAGGTGAAGACAAGCAAATATGTTCCTTGGAATTATCGTTAAGCATTTCTGCTTCGCCATACAAAACTGATGCAGCCGATAATTTCTCCAAGCAGTAGGAACTATCCCTCCTCATACCTTTATAGTTTGAGTATAAGATGAGGAAAAATATTTTCAAATAGTGAGCAAACACAGATCATATGCAAGTAAATCATACAGATGAAGTTTCTAATAGGCTGACTCAAGACTTTAAAAACCAAAATAAAAGGAAAATTTCACTTCTGAAAACACCTAAAAGTGGAGAAAAGCTTTCCTCGAGAGCTTGCAAAACACTCACTTAATGCTAGACATACTTATTATTTTCAACATAGCATGGATTATTTTACCCTTTCTTCTTCTTTTGAAAAATTATAGCTATATACTCGATCTATTTAGTTGGAACGAATAATCACAATGCTACAATATGGTAAACCTCCAACCTGAATCTTATAGTTTAACAATTTTAATTTCCATTATCAAGTTCACACACTCATACGATTGCAGCAAACCGATCTAACCTTTTCTTTTTTTCTTGAAAAGGAACAAATAAAATATAGAAAACAGCAAAACAGGAAAAGAGGACTCACAAGAAAATGAAAATGGCCAAGATGAAGTGGTTGTGGAGAGCGGGGACTGAACTGAAAGGCCACACCATTTCAGGTTGAGTCTAAAACCCATTTTTAAGAGAAAAATTGAACTGTTTGTTGAGGAAGAATCAAGGGAACTTGAGCATAAAAATACTTTTATAAATATGGCGAATAAAAATGGAGTGGAATTTGAGAAGTGAGATATATCAGCTCTGAGAGCCACTGATTCCACATCTTCAGCATAAGGTCAATGGTTCTCTTACGTTTCCTTTCTATTTGTTGCTGTATGTTACAGACAATTTACCCCCTTTATCTTATATATTAATTCAAAACGTGAGCTTAATTATAGGTTTGCACACTTCAAATATTGACATGACAAGTTTCTATACTTTGTAATTTGATTTATACAAATATAATTATTTTGATATCAGTTTTGGTATTTGACATAATAATTTATGGGAAAATTTTTTTTAACCTCCCAAAGTATGTTATTTTTTTGACTTTACCATATAAATTTTTTTTTTTTATGACAATTTGCCTCCCAATGTAATCGAAACTGACAGTTTGTCTACTCAGATTGAAAACCCCTAATATGGTACAAAAGAGTTTTTAACTCAATTAATGATGAATTTTAAATTAATCTTTAAAATTGATTGAGAGCTTTTAAAGCCCATGACGAGACGAACAAAATGGGGTATGATTTGTCGATTTCTGAAAATTGATACCTCTAAAATCGATCCACGAAGATAGCAGGAGCATGTGTGTATAGAAAAAAATTCAATTCAAGTTTTCTGATAATCAAGATATCCGATTTTCGATTGAGGGGTGTCATTTGAAAGCTTGAAAGGACGAGTTTTCTATCGAAGTAAATCTTATGAAAATCCAACGGTCGGATTTTGGTTAGTAGCCTAAAAAAAAGCTAACTATTGATCAATAGTTTTCTAAATATTGATCAAAATCCGACCGTTGGATTTTCATAAGAGTTACGTGTTAGAAAATTGGTCCTACTAGCTTTCAAATGACACCTCCCAATCGAAAATCGGATATTATGATTGTCAAAAAACTTGAATTGAAATTTTTTTTATACACACGTGCTCCTACTATCTTCTTGGATCGATTATAGAGGTATCAATTTTCAGAATTCGACATATTATACCTCATTTTGTTCGTCTCGCCATGGGCTTTAAAAGCCCTAAATCAGTTTTAAAGATTAGTTTAAAATTCATCATTAATTGAGTTAAAAACTCTTTTGTGCCATATTAGGGTTTTCAATCGAGGAGGCAAACTGTCAGTTTCGGTTACATTGGGAGACAAATTGTCAAAAAAAAAAAGTTTATATTACAAAGTCAAAAAAACGACATACTTTGGGAGGTTAAAAAAAAAATTTCCATAATTTATTTACAATTTTGGTGAGTATCCAGTTATATTTTTCATTTTTGTCTTTCAAAATAAATATTATCATACAAATATGATAGTATTTATTCTCACTTATTAAATACCATAATTTTTTTTTTATCATATTTTAAAAGTTAATAATTTTTTCATATCCCATTTTTCAAACCACCGCCGCCTACGCCATGAAATGGTGCTCCACCTCCGAGATGAAGATGGCTAGGGCAAGACGATGTGGGAATTGCATCACCTTCATTTTCTCTAATAAATCGACAGTTTTGAAAAAGCTTTTCCTTTTGTTTATAATATAGGGGTTGACACTTCGACTTTATATGGAAATATGGTTAAATTGAACACAGAATTGAAGATACCACCAGTACCTTGTGTAAGCCACGTTCAGTTTTAACCTCACCTTCGTAGAATTTGTTGACATTGTCTAATTATTAACGTCTGCTGCCTGTGATTTCATCTCGTCGAGCACGAATGGAGGTCATGATATTTAGGGCCAAAATCAAGAAATCGGTGATTAAATTCCAATTCAGAAAAAAAGGTAGCGACACATGATGCTAGTGTGCCACTTTTTATTAGACAACTTCCCCCTTATATCAAGCTAATATGTTAAATGCCTCCAGATAAAGAGAAGAAAAGAAAGAGAACTGCAGGATATAAATCTAAATAATACAATTACTATTTGCAGATTGTCACAATATTAGATCACACGTAAAGTCGGAACACCAAGACGTCGATTTTGTAGGAGTGGAATATACAAACTCATTTTCTTCTCGCATATAGAGATTCAAAAAGGGTAGAAAAACCGGCTGAGCCACAGATCCACTTAAACCACAAACCAAGCCAAACACCCAAAAGCACCAACTTAACTGAACAAACAAACCCATGATGGAATATATGGCATGATCAATAATCCCACATGCTGTACATGCAATAATATATGTTATCCATCCTAATCATCAGTTATCTATCCTTTGAGTTCCTAGTATAACTGGAAGACAATCTGGACTGGGACTGGAAAAAATCGAAAGGCGTCCCACGTCCAAAAGACCTTCTCATGGCATTTGGGGAATCCGAAAGCAAAGGCTCGTGAACCGGGTTTCGGTGTTTGGGCTGTGAAATTGATAGAGGTGAGAGATCTTTTTCGAGGGACCTTGATTGGGGCTCGATGTTGCCCAACGACAAAATCGGGCCTCCTAAACGTTCGGCTTGTTGGAGAATGTTGATTTTGCTCGATCTGTATGTGTACCTAAAGTATTTTAGTGCAAGGATGGGTCCCATTCCTGCTGCAACAGTTAGCTGATGAAAGAAATAAATTTGTTGGTCAGCCCAAACAGAAAGTGCAATTAAAGGTTAGCTAGAAAAATGCTTATCCTAATAACCAAATGATATTTTAANTTTTTTTTTTTTTTTCTTTTCTGATGTAGAAAAACCTGATTAGAAGTTAGGCTTGTAAGCAAATCAAATTTTTTTTATTCGCTCGATATTCGAATGCGATATTCGTGATTCGAATTCGAATTCGAATACGAATAATGTTTTATATTCGAAAGTTAAACGAATCCGAATTCGAATTTGTAGATATTCGATTCGAAATTCGAATATTCGATTCTTTAACAATAATTATATAAATTTTATAAATTATATACAGTATACATTTTGTTTATAATATATATGTGTATATATATTATTATATTCCTAATATTTTTATGACATAAAGAGTAAAAACATCCTAAATTAACAATTTTTCCTAAAAATATATGGAAAAATAAAAATTATTTTTGTAATTATAATATTTTTCCGAAAACAAATTTCGAATCGAATCGAATACAAATCAAAAAATGAGTTCATTAACGAATTCAGATCCTCGAATATTTTAAAGAACCCGAATTGAATATCTTATTAGTATTCGCTTTGATTCGATTAGTTTACAACCCTATTAGAAGTGTTATAGAAACTCCCTTGGTGTTTCTACTTTTATCAATTGTTAAAAGAGAAATTGGGCGGGGGGGTTTTCAAATTTCGAAAGAGATTTTTTTTTTTTTATGTATATCAGGGTAGACAGCAGCATCATGTTTTTCAACATTTAAATTTGCTCCGGTTTTGCGCCAAAGATTCATTTCTAGTTTGTGTAAGGCCACATATTATTATTTATGTAAGAAACAAAAGAAGGCTAAACGGACTTACAAACATTGTAATCCAGTAAGAGGGTTGCTTGCATAGGCGGAACATAATTGTGTACATCCCAGATGATGGGATTGCACTAACAATCCAGTTGATGACATAAAAACCGACCAGATTGCCCCATATAGCCAGGTGTTGTAATATTGTGAAAGAACTGTAGAAACAGAACAAAAAGAGGAAAATTTCAAACCAAACTCAGATATGAGACAAATATAATGGTAAAATCAATAACGCAAGTCAGGAACCACTAAATCTTGAGCATATCTCACAAATAAAAATAATAGATGCTCTATGTTTTGACCTAGTTGGGAATTGGGATAAAAAAAAATATCAGTTTCTTGTTCAAAATCATGAACATTAGCTAATAAAAAACTTTGCATTTTGGTAAAATCAAGGGAGTATGTGCTTTCAAAATATAGCTGGGTTTACGACTACACGGGCTGCGTTTGGTTGGTTTTTGTGACAGCACTTGATTAATTCCTAATAACCAATCAATCATACACAATGAGAAGGACTTAATTAACACCATAAAGATGTTTGGTTAATGAAAACATGGTAGGATATCAAAGCATTATAAATATGAATTAACCATTTCTTTGTTAAATTTTATTCGAAAATATTAGAGTTCACAATATTACCCTCACACTCTTTCTTAATTTTCTAAAACACGCCACCAAGAAACTGGTTTTGTGAAAAAGATGTACACAAACTGTCGATCTAAATCTAAATAACTAAAGTATATGAAAACCATTAACCCATTTGCAATGGCTATCATGTGGTCAAAAAAAAAATAAAAGAGTTCCACCACTTATTATCATGTTTCAGGCATAAATAAAAATAAATAAATAAATAAATAAATAAAAAATGTTTGAACTAAAATGCACAATGGGGTGTGGGGATTTATTTCTCTTTTCCGCCCGTCTTCAATTTTGCCGGTGCTAGCGGGGTTCATTTTGCGTTTCATAATCGGTAATCAAAAAGAAAAAGAAATAGTAACAAACGAACCAGTAGCCATGGTGTTAGTTTATGAATTTCCAATTCAAGAGACCATAAATCTCACCGATCTATCAGATTTTGAAGATATTGCTAGCCATTTTTCTTACTTCTGGCAGCAATTGTCCAGAATGATTTCTTTCAGCTAATTGAACGTTTTGTATTTGGGATTCTGGGATATAGGATACCTTAGATTTTCTCCAGATCTAAGTAAATAGGGTATCTATGTAATTCTAACATTTGAGGGATATGTTATCCCACCAAAAGGGTGGGATGTGATATAATGTTTTTAAATGATAAAACACCGGGGCATAGCTGTTTCAAGGGTTTTAACTAATTGAATCAAACAAAATAAAACTGTGGAAATAATATTAAATAGCTTGATATCACTCACAATATCTCCAATCAAACACACCCTAACTGTTTAGGTATTTTTGTACTAACCCTGAAACAAGGGACACTATCAGTATTACATGCTTCCTCACGTGTATGCAAGATTGTACAATTAGCAATCACAGAGAATAACAAATTCGAACTTGTTATTCTCACAAGAAATTCTCAAGAATTTCCACTAATAAAAGTTAGCGTAAAAGCACAAGAGAAATAGTCTCACTTGGTTTCGATTGCCACGACAAATGCCTGTAACCAAATGCATCCTGAGAGTGCAACCATTGATACCTCCTCCATCTCACTTCTCTCATAGGCATATGCATGTATCGTGATAACAAAAACAACAATTGCCTGAAAAGATCACAGTTTAATAATGAAAATATTAGCATGCTAACAAAGGTCACCAAAAAAATAATAATAATAATTCATAGGATTATTTGGTGTCTCCTGTTGAAAAATACAAAGCCCAGCACATATAGCTACGATGGCAATAGGATATAAATTATTTTCATTTTTGTTTAGTTCGTGATTTATCTCATTGAAAATGGAAACAAAAAATAAAATAAAATTTAGAAAAATACTATTAATTCCGTCACACTTTTTTCTCTACAATCCCACTAACACATTCAAAAAATAAAAGTCAAATCAATATTATATATTTTCCAACAAAAAACTATTCACTCACTCATATTTTATTATTTTCATATCATAGCAAATTACATATTTATCCTATATCCATTCACAATCTAAAAAATACTCCACTTCTTCTAAAAACAACTCTTTCCACATTTTCATCTCTATTTTTCGGGCGAGACAAAGTTTCAAAAAATTTCTATATCCAATCGCCACTAGGGCCCACCATTTTATCTAACGTTGTTAAGTCAGTTTTTCCATTCTTGATATACTATAGATTACTTTTAGGCATGACAAAAATATGACAGGATAATTTATGTGGTCTTGAAACTTGAACTGCAATTGCTATATCCAGTTTTGGTATCATCTTAGGTTAAATGATCTAGCGTGACAGTTTTTACACAAATTATCAAAAGCGTAACAATGAGAGCACTAGTGGACTGTAGCTGACAAATTTGTCACTCAATTTCAGCATGGTTTTAGCCCACATATACTTATTGATCTCTTGTTTTTAAATAAAAGTAGCACCATGAAACTAAGGGTATGTTTGCATACAAAATATCTCAAAAAAATTCCAACATTTAAACTCAACCATTCTTTTTAACTCAACCCCACTATCATCAATATTATCAATATAATTAAATACCACATCAACTTTAATTCACTATTCATCCACCCACATTATTTTAACTAACTATCACTTCAAATCATTTCTTTCCTACTTTCACATCAAATAAATTTTAATTATTTTAATTTAAATATTATTTTAATATACTCACTAACAACTAACCATACCACATTTTTTAAAATTAACCAAACCAAACCAAAAAATCCAACAACAACAACAACAACATACCCAGTATATTCCCAACAGGTTGGGGTCAGGGGGGCCTTACCCTTGTAATTATACAAGGAGGCTGTTTCCGTAGCGACCCAGGGTGCATTGCGCCGTTTGATATATTTTTTTTTTCTAGAAACTTCACTAATAGAAGAAGCACTAGAATTTAATTGAGCCATTTTGATCTAGTCCATTATTAGCACTATGCTAGGAGAATTGTCAACAATGACTCTTCCAGCTCCATTTGCAATGGACAAAAAACCAAAAAATCTAACAAAACCAAAAAANATCCAAACATGCTCTAATATTGAGGCATAAACATGTCAAAACACATACTGTACAAGAAAAGCACTTACATGAAAGAGAGATCGGCCAAACCATCCGGCAAATGTGCTAGGGTTGAGAAGTCTGTTTTTGTCAGTCAAAAATCAAAGAGAACTCTTAAACACAAATAAACTTCAGGAACAGTAGTTTACTGCAACTAAAATTCTCTAAAATAAAATGAAAATAGCCTTTCAGAGCAAAGCAGACCTTCCAGCTTGGCAGTAAAAAAGTATCTGGGGATGCTGCATCACAGTTTTTTCACTCAGATCTTTGTCAAGAACACTGACTAAAACAGGAACACTCGTGTAAAACACATTATAAGCCATCAAGCTGACTGAATTGAAGAGGCTGGTCCCCGAGACGCCTGAAATGAAAGAGAAGCTGAAAGCAATGTACTGTTAGCACACAAAAAGAAAACCTGCAGTCATTTTTACATCTCCAGACAACTCCAACCATTGAGAATAAATTCCAAATAGTAAAGGAACTTACAAGATCTGGATAAAACATATCAGCAAGGACTTGTAGAATGAATATTGCGAAAGAAATGCCGTGCGGTTATATGAATAACGTCCATGCACAAGAATCAGTCTTTTCAAATATCTGAATTCTGTGGAAAATAATATTAACAAATGAAAATGTCACTGATATGCTACTTATAACTTGTAACTGTACAATTAATTATCAACGGAAAAAGCCTGCTACAATTCTAAGAGGAAAACTAAACATGAAAATTATTTGCATATGCAAGGACAGTGTGCATATTTAGGAACATTTTACAACCAGAAACAGCTGAGAAAATACAACCTCGCTGAGCTACCATAAGAGGATGTGAAATTGCTGTTAAAATAAATCAGCATATCTTTATTGGTCATGTCAATTTGATCTGAAAGCAAAGATCTTACTTCCAATGCTATAATCAGCTGCCCTTGCAGCTTGCAATCCTTCTCTCCCACTTATGCCAACGCCTATGTCAGCTTGCTGAATCATCCTCACATCATTTCCACCATCCCCAATGGCCAAAGTTCTATAGTCACATGACTTCAAAAGTTCAACCAGCTAAAATAAACAGAAAACATCAGAATAGTTTCACACGAACAAATGATTGTAAAAAGCGTACCCATCTTCACAATGCTTCTACTACGTATTTCCTACCACTTTGCAATTTTATTTTCACGAAGAAATGCTACACACTGGAAACACAAATATCTTAAAAGAGATGGATTAATATTATGCAAGGGGAACCATAATTTTACAATGGATCGAGAAGATACCATAATGGTCATTAACATGATACAATTTTCTGGAGGTAAGTATCATTGTTTTTAGAAATGTAATTAAAATAAATGGCTTGTGCTGAATAAATGACTTATGCTGAAAATTTAATACAACTGTCCACTTAGAATATCGTTTGGATGCTATTAATAAAAATTTATATTAAGTCAAGTCAAGGTACCTGTGCCTTCTGTGATGGAGTGACACGACAACATATAGCTGTCCTTGATAAAATTGCAAGTTCGGTGAATGCCTTACGGTAATGCTTAAGAGCAATTTCAAGAGCCCAGCCATCAGCGACGAAAGCTACATCCTATGGAAATAAAACTCGGGTCAACAGAAACCCCCAACAGGAAGACTAATGAGTGCAGTAGGAAATCTCTTTGCTATCCACATTTTTTGTTAAGACTATGATTGCAGATTCATTTAAGATATGGACTTGTTACTAGTTCAAGTGTACCACTATTGTTGTAACACTAGAGAGGGAATCACATGATAATTAAGGTTTAATATACCCACACCCATAAGATAATATATTCAGTGTGCTATTGTCACCTGAGCATTGAAGTCACTATTGCTGGCTCTCACAAAAATAAAAATGAGAGAGAATAAGAAAATAGAAAAGGAACAGGAAAAATAAACGAGAAACAAATAAACAGACGTGCACTATAAATTACACAATGATTATAAAAAATGAATTGGCATCACTGCAACTTGTTTAGATCTCTTGTATGAACCATTTCAACAAATAGAAGCAAGAATTTCAATGGATGACATAGTTCATCTAAGAACAGCAGCGAATCAGATATATGACAATATCATACCTTAGGTTCCGAATTCGTGATTCTCATAGTAAGCAAAACCCTCTCAAGGCTCCTACACACTTCATCCTCAGTTTTTCCATCAATCATCAGAAGCTGACCTTTAGGTTCTGTTAATAATGACGATAAAAGTTAAAGATATGGCAGCATCAAGTGGTAAAGGTCGGTTGTTATTGCTCAGACGTGCGGAAAATGTCAAGGTAGAGATTGAGAAGAATATAAATGGACAAGATCAGCCAATCAAGTGGGTCCAACTAATTTTAGCAATGGTGGATGTCAACTGTTAATTCAACACTAGATTGCAATATATAACTATTGAATTAAATCACCTGGAGAGACAAAATTACAAGAAAGACCAATTTGTATTGCAGTGCTCTGCTTGTCTCCAGTCAGCATCCAAAAATTTATACCAGCTCTCCGAAGGGTCTCAATTGTTTCTGGCACACCATCCTGAATAATAACAGAATTGAATGAACTACAATTGAAACAACTTATTTGGCAACGTATTATTGAGGGTGTAAAAAATAGAATTCAGATATGTTTCCTGCGAGAACCAAATCACCTGAAGTCGATCCTCTATGGCAGCAACACCAAGAATCTCTAAATTGCACTCTAATCTTTGGCAGACTTCCGCTACTCTCCACTGAAAAATGATATGGTGAACATGAGCAAAACGGTGAAGAAAACCCAAAGATGTAAGCATCTCATATTACCTCTCTATCTACAAGTGCACTATTAGCCTCTTTAAACATCAAGGCCCATTCTTGATACTCATCATTATCTACTTCCCGCCACGCAAGGCATAACGTCCTCAGACCCAGTTGAGCATATTGTTCAACAGCTTCAGCAAAAGTCCTTATCTGTTGCCCTGACACAAATTTGATGATTAGTGATTGCATCTTATTGAATAAAGAGTGATACCCTGTCCCTAAATATAAATTAATTGCAGCAAAGACCAGAAACTACAGAAGTCTACCAGGAAAAAGACGAGAAAATGCAGGAAATGAAAAATGTAAATAAAAGCTATTCTAAGCTTTTCAAGAATCCTTTGAGAAACAAAGCATCCATATATATCAATACAAATTACAAAAACAAGTATGCGGTGTGCAGCTACATGGATCAAGAATAGCATTAGCCCAATTGAGTGAAGATATAAGATAGAAAAGGTCAACCTTAGGAACTTTCGATGACTAGAGTGTTCTTGAATGTGCAAAGCAGACAAATTCTCAAAAGGGAGGATAATCATATGAGCAATTTTTCACCCATATAATAAGAAAATTACCAGCATAACTACGAGGAAAGATGGATTCATCTGCTCCTTTCGAAAAGAGGAAAATGTTCCCACTTTGACAATCCTTAACTACCACAGACATTCTTTTCCTGTCAGACGTGAACTCCAGAATATCTAGCACTTCATATCGGAGTAATGAAGAATTGAATTTGATTTCTGCATAGCCATAAACATTAAATGAGTGTCTCATCCCCTAAATACAGTAATTACAAATCAAGATTCAGGTTAAGAGGTGTCAAGTTGTCATTATTATTGACAGGCAGTTTGGCAAAGGAAACATTCAAGCTAGTTCATATTAATGGACAAACAATGACAATAAAAGTAAGATGAAATCAATGTTCAGTGACAAAACTATGTGGGCTTCCATTTTCTTGCAGTTCTCCTCATACGAATACTTTTTCCTGATTTCAAACTTATATGAAATGAAGATTTATAAGGATATCTATAGTTTATCTCTTAAAGCAAGTAATCAGCAGAGAAAATATTTACCAATTCTCAATCTTGTTTTAAAAGATATTACTAGATAAACAGAAGAGAGTATGTTTCATTTCAAACTTCACCAAAATACTTTGAGGTGAAATTTGTACGATTACAAGAGTACTGAAGGTGTAAAATATAGTTTTTTCAGTACTTTTTCCAGATTGAAGATTTAATAATTCATTAGTCCTATCTATTAATATTACTTATCTCAATATTTTGAAAAATCATTTAAAGCAATAAGTTTGCGATTTGGTCACAACTGAAAACGAAGCCAAACACCAAAATGATAATGAATTATAAGTGTGGAAATACTTATATAGGCGTGTACGTGTAACTGGAAGTTTAGAAACGTATTGCCTGCTGTCTATCCGTCACGCTTACCAATAATATTCCCATTTTTATTCTCAAAAATCATATGCATACGAGCAGCAGCGCGGACTAGAGCTTCTTCATCTTGGGATTGGGCCTTGTATGAGATTTCTCCACTTTTGCTGTACGAAAGTCATAGACATAGTATATAAATTAGAGGTCTCTAGCGGACACAACCATTTTTCCTAAACTCATATGGAACATAACTCAATATATCTGGCTTATTCTATACAATTACTCCAATATAGATCAATGTTAGCAAGCTACCTTCGGACAGGAATCACAGTATTGCAAATGGTCATAACTTTAAGAAACCGAATTACATCCTCCGAGCCACTGGATACAGCATTATTCAGCTCTGTATCTGTACATCACAAAATTGTAAGTAACAAATGCTTACACTGCTGAAGATTCCTTACCACATACGAACATTAGAACGACAACCAAGACTTATTATTAAATCATTATTGTTTGAGTAAACTGAATTGAGAGTATCAGAATTGATGATTAAAAAAACATAGAAAAATAAAATCTCCCTGAACGTGGGGAGAAAATTAACTTGTATTCTTGTTGGGATATCAACTCTGAGACCATCCCATTGAAGCCGACTACTCAATGCAGAAAATACATAATAGCATTATGCAACTAATATCATGGATAGTCAGTGTGGATACCTCTAGCACCTCCAAAATTAAGGCATCGCTGGAACTCATTTGCTACCAAAAATTGCAAAATTAAGGAATTAAGCAAGAAATGGAAGCCTATTAATTAATAGAAGCTAGAGTATGTTAATTGAACGAAAACAATAAAAAATCCCCTCTAAGCACACAGGATTGATCATATTCAATGCAAAATAGGATATTTTGTCTGGCAATCTTCTTGGTGGCAAAATATTGCATCAGTTATTAACTATTATACTTGTCGAAATTATATAAAAACTTCACATATACATAATACATTTGACTCTTCAAGAAATGTAGGAATTTACCAGACTGAAATATTTTCTATTAACAAGTAAACATAATCTTACCTGTCAAAGCATCGCCGTTCTCATTCCCATAAAGTCTTCCACTTACGCAACATCTTTTGAAGATCATTTTATTTTCAGTCAAAGTTCCTGTTTTATCTGTCAGTATATATTCAACTTGCCCCAAGTCCTCACTAATCGCAGTGCTGGCAATTACAGAAAAACAGAATTAGATAAACTAGACATAATGTGCAAATACTGCAGCAGTCAAAATCATGAGTGCATCTAGAGTTTCATACTTAGCTGCATGGGACCGAGTCCCTGTTTCTAGATCAACCATCCGATCATCCCAGTCAATAAATTTTGCATATAAACCTTTAACTAGATCTAATGATACCTGCAACAGAGAAGAGGATACCCTCTCAGATATGCCAGATTGTGAAGGTCCTTAAAAATGTCAAAGTTACAACACGCGCAATAGGCCATTGATTGTCATAGAATTAAACAATTAAACAATACGAAAATAATAAGAATAACAGCAACAATAATTATATGGTATATCCAGTTTTCATAATATTTCAAAGTTGAAAGGTATGAACATAACTTAATTCACAGAAATACAAGATACAAGTATTCTGAAAAGCGTGGTTACTAAATGGCTTCAAAACAATAGCTTTACCTTTATAGATATAGGAATCATAATGGAGCAGAGCAGTTCAAATCGTAGAGGGATAACGAGTAGTTCATACCAAGGGCCTTCATTTGGATATCGAACGTACCACAGCTACAATAGATAAATCAAGATACTTTGCATTAGATAATAATAAGAACAAGATACAAATAGGGCATAGGGAGGCAGGTCTTTATATGAAGAGTCGCGTTAGATATATTACTTATTGTATCTTTGTGTCTCTTGGAAAAAATGAATAAGGCTCTGGATCAAATATCTACATGATAAATCCTAAGATCAACTAAAAATTTTATTGTCCATGATCTCCAATCCAACCAGTACATTACCAAGTTTAAGTATCATATTAGGTTCATAGAAGTTTTCCAGATTTCTTTCCCCAACAGATTTCAAGTTGTTAGACATTATATATTTCCACCCGCTTTACCCCAATTCAGTATTTAAGGTTTCAACATTTTGCATGAATTATATTTACGATCAAACTAAGACTGAGCAGGAAGGAATATTAATAAACTGCCTTAACACCACACCTTCCTTGCTTCTGTATCCTTCCAAATGTTCCCAGCTATACCCAGTACAACAACGACAACTATCTGAAAAATGAATATAGCTCCAGTCAATTTGTCAATCATGGCATCTACAGCCGTGAGCTTTGGTTCAGGTATGCCCCTACTCATCCCTAGCTTCGTTTCATTGCCTGTTTTAAATAAGAAAAAGTAATTAGACCAGATAGTGTTTCAAGTTGAAGTTAAATTGTTAAAATGGACGCACATTTAGGAATTCATGACACGAACTGTAGAGTTAACAAAGTTACATTTACAGAAAGCTTGAATAGTGGCTCCCTTTTCCGGAGAAAGAATGGGATATAGCATCATCACGGCACAAGTTTGCATCCATGAAAGAGTGATAGATACAAAGAGAGATGGATTACATGAATCTGTATGATCATTTAAAGTCATACAAGGACGGAATAGTAAAACAAGGGCTGATAGCTACTAGAAAGTTGACATGTTATTTCAAACAGGTGGTAGGTCCCATTTCAACTGTGTTGTTAGTATAGTCTTGACATAACAAGCTGCCAAGTATAAGAGTGTAATAATATTTGCGGTTCAGCTAGGACTCAAAAAAAAAAAAAAAAATCTATAATAACACTATCCTTTCAACATCTGTCCTCTCAGAAAGAGATCTACATTGAAATCAATTCATAAATTATGATGATGATGTTGATGATACATAATTAGATTATGATGCGTAAGAAGTTGGTCACTTGCCAGTGTATACAGCAACTCCACATGCCCACTCTGTGTTCCTTAAGTAGCATGATTGAAGGAGTGTATTTTTTATTGTCAAGGGGAACACGTCATTGTCAAGAAATGGAGGAAATAGTCTCATGTTTGCATCAAATCGCCTAATATCTTTATCTGGGCTGGGACACTCAATTACGCCCTGGCAAGAGACGAAAAAACTAAATGATATGTTCCAACTCCAAGCAGTGAATTTATTTTTTAAAACTTACAAGAATAACTTGCCTTGATTCTGTGCAACAACTCAACATCTATTCCCATGCATGCAGAAGGTATCAATCGTGTCTTCAGGTCAGTTTCACCATCTAGTGCGGCTGTCTGCAGAACACAACACAATTATATCATCTACAGAACATATGAAAATATGAACGTACAAGATTCAGAAAAGACTTTCAGGTTATAAACAACATGATAAGAAAGATTTACAGTCATTGAGACCAGTGAGGCAAGTGCTAGCTAACATCAACAATTCATGGAATTAGACAGAAATACAGGAAAGAAAATTTCACCTCCACATAGCAAATCCCTTGCGGATCTCCTGTACCAAGCAAAACAAGATCACAAGGAACTTCATCATTTTCACGCAGCCAGACAATGTTTCCGACACGAATATCTTGGGCTTGAATCTAAGAAAATGTGAATGAAACAAGGCAACCATAAGAAACAATTGGAGAGATAAAATCCAAATTGAATGTAATGACAATGTGAAGTAGATATATCCAAGATCGAGTGACAAGCAGACAGCAAAAAAAAAACTTACAAGCTTTCTAACTCCCTGCCTCACTATCCAAACTTGTTTCTCATTTGCTTTCTTATCTGAGAGATACCTATTGTAATCATCCCATGCCTCTTTTGTTGCAGAGACTGCAAATATAAATATAAGAGGACCCCATGTACTTGCAGGATTCACGGGAGTAATCAGAGACCATAGTTGAAGGCAAGCAATCAACAAAAAGTATTGATTCATAAATCGGCTGGAAGAAAAGATAACAGCTGTTAGATTAACAAGAGAAAATGGGAGAATTGAAGAAAAATCTAGCCAGATAACTAAAGCAGATATTACTGCACAGTGAAGTCAACTTTAGATAAATTTATGACTCAATACAAAACCATTGTCTAAGTTGATAATAGCAAACAAACCATGAGAAGAAAATACAGAGTAGAAACTAGATGGTTGAAGATGGACTTTTTTATTAGAGAAATAGGTTAGGCAAAGATAAATTATTCCATTTGTCCAAACTGTTCTTGGAAAATAAAAAACAACTTATATTACAAGCTCACCTAATGAACATATGCTGCTTTTCACCTTAAGTGAAGAGGAAGAGCATGCAAACGACTTTACTTGCAGGTAAAGAAGTATGGTAACTCAAGGAAAAGAAACGTGCATGAACATACAAAAATGAGACGTACATTTGTACTTTATAGCCCTATATTAATTAAACAAAACTTAATTCACCAGCATATATTAATTGATGGAGACAATGTACATAAAATATGTTTACCTGAACTGTTCCCATAGATTTTTAGGAAGAAAATTCAGAATCGTATACTTTCTGTTTGATACGCGATTGTCACAGTAGAGATCTTGTGCTACATCGTCATCATTTATATACACAAAACGCTTCATGATCAACTTAGTTGCTCCGATTAACACATAACATGCTCAGCCAACATGGATATTGGAAACATCCAGATTGAAACAACTCCTGATGAAATTAAGAAACTTGCACTCCTGCAAAATACGAAATTTTCCTTGTAGCAACAGTAAGAAACAAAAGATGAAAATAAGCCATCCGACTCGGATCCTCTACTGAAAAATAATGCAAGTACATTTCCATGGTATATGGCAACCAAACAATGAAAAGATGCAAATAGAGTCCCGACCAAGAGATTATGGTGGAGTATCAATGAGAATTCGTATTCCAAATATCAATTTTTAACTTTATAAAATCACAAAACACACACATCACACGCGCACAGTACAGATATATAACACTACAGAAACTAACTACACACAAATTTGACATTTTTCATACAATACACGCATTTCTCATGCGCAAACAGGTGCATATACACATACAAACACACACAGAGAGACACACTACGATACGTCTACATTTTCTACACACTAAACATACAATAAGCAATACATGTCTTGTTGTAGGGGAAATGGAGGAAATACATAAAAGAGAGGAACAAAAGGCAATGGAAGAGAATACTGCCAATTAAAATATTTAGATAAATTGGTCCGCGAAACACTAATCTCTCCTATTATCTAGGTTTCTGATATAGCATAATCAGCTCGTTTATGTAATAAGAAATCAAAGGACCGGCATCAATTTCTGAGCTCCAAGGTAGGAAGCCCAGAATCCTTGTCTTAATGCTTAAAGTGATGCACTTTTATTCTTTGTAAATTAGAAGGCTACAAAGAATATACATGCCAAGTCAAACTAGACCATGAAGTTGAGGAAAACAAGAACTACAACACAATCATCAATCTCTATCATTAAATTAAAATAACGAGCACCTCTCAGATTTTCCCATCAGAAAAGGAACTCGGTAAAATCTATACTTGACCGCTCAACCACGCTTCATTCGACAAATACAACTCGATTGAACATAAAAATACCCAAAATGAATACATTACTTACCTCTTGATCAATGTTCTTTGAGGTGGAGATTCAAAATTGATTAGGCGGTGGGCAGGTACTATAAATCAAACTCCGTCAGGATCTGATAATTATCGGGGCTCGCTTTTGCAGCATAAAACGACGTATGTGGCATGCGTTTGTGATCGCATGAGTCAACTCCAGAACTTCTGTGTATCAGAGAGAAACCATGATATGGTGCCTGAGGAACCAAAGTCGCTGTTGAAAAAGTGTGCCTTTTGTGGTTGTTCAACTGGAGGAGCTGCCTGGGTCGATGTTGCCGCGTTGCTTCACCAAACTTATTATTGGGCCTCGAGAGGCACGGTGAAATTTTTGGGAAATTTACATACATATCACATATAAACTCAACTTCACCGCACTTTTAACTAGTCATCGCCCCATATTCTATTTCTCTAAATTTTCTATCTCTCTAAATTCTCGAACTTTCAACGAGCGATTTGAGCACCGAAAAAAATCCAAAAAAATATCAAAAAAATCCTACGGTCTCGACAAAGCATTCTTCTCGAGCAAATAAATTTTTTTTTTTTGCCAGATTATTTTTAAAAAAAGTTTTTTTGAAATTGGCCGTCCGTCCGGCCGTCGTTTCCAGACGGACGGCGGCCGTCCGGTCGTCGGTTCCGGACGGGCGAAAAATCGTCCGGTCGGCCGAACCGGACGGCCCTAAAACTATTCAGTTCCGGACGGCCAAAAAACCGTCTGGAACCGCCGACCGATCACGAGCCGGTCGGACAGTTTTTATATTTTTTTTAATAATTATGATAATAATAATAATAATAATAATTATAATAATAATCATATATAATAATAATAATAATAATAATAATAATAAGTTGAATAAATTGTAATTAATTATAAATTCTAATTAAAATAATAATAATAATAATTACAAATTAGAAATAATTATAATAACAATTATAAATTATAATAATAATTATATATTATAATAATAATTATTAAATATTATAATAATAATAAGTTGAATAAATTGTAATTAATTATAAATTCTAAAAATAATATTAATAATTATAAATTATAAATGCTTATAATAATAATATTATAAGAAATAATAATAATAATTTGTAATGATAATTATAATTAAATATAATAATAATAATTATAAATTAGTATTAATTATAATAATTTAACTAAAAAATTATAATAACTATTATAAATCTCAACAATTATAATTATAATAATAATTAATAAAATTTATATATGAAAACAAAAATGAATTATAATCTATTTTAATAGTTATTAGAATAGTCATTACATATTGAAAAATTTAATAATTATATTTCTGATTCAGGGTGTTAGCAGACCTAGACAATCTAATGCCAGGGACGACGACGAGGCGTTCGATGACTATTATAATGGTTCTGGCACCCGACACACTAGAAGTCGGGGTGTCAATGCGTCTGTTCGTCGAGAGAGAGAGACACGGAAAGGCAGGCGTTGATCGATGAGGCTCGGAGGGTACAGCTTCGTCAGGCTAGCCAGAGTTCCCGCCCCCCCGCACCAGTGCGAGATGGTCCGCAGGGATATCATTTTGAGGGCTAGCCAGATAGTTCGCGACCCCACGGAGTCCTCCCGTACGGCGAGCATGGATTTTATTATCCTGGCCAGGCGGGCGGTTCGATGCCCCCGGCACCAGGACCGTACAATCAGCCGGGATATGCTTTTCTCCGCTACGTAGGGAAGTCGATATCCCCCCGCGCACGCGTACCATTACCTTATGGTCAGCAGGGGTATGCTGATGATGAGTCGTACGGCAAGAGGGAGCAGGGTCCAGAGGAGTATGACTCGGACGACTCTTCAGATGATCAGGACCACGCACAGCCTACGGGTCCTAACCACCCTCGTCCTCTTGTACAGCCTGTTCCTCCGGTACAGCCGGTTCTACAGCATGTTCGTCCGGTACAGGCTGTTCATCCTACACAGGCTGCTCCTCAACGACAGGCTGGGGGGCGTTTTGGCCCATCTCATCCTCATCAGGTAAATAATTTACGTATTTATTGTTGTTTAACATAAATTATTTTCACTTAATCATAACAAATTATCGGTACTGTTAGAAAAGTATTATCGGCCTGCTCCTCAATTACGGTATAATTATTTTGTAATTTAGATGAACCATACAATTAATTAGTTCGAAAATTATTATTATTTTTATTATTGTTATAATCAATTAGTAGTAATGTTACATAATAAATATATTTTATTTAATGCATCTGCCAGCAAGTCAATATATACAGATATGTTGTATTTTAATGCAGGTACTAGCAAACGAGCTAGGACCGATGATGATGCACCCTGGATCGTTAAAGGCCCAGTGCCCGGTGGGCCCATTGATGAGAGTGTCATCCCTAACTTTATAGGGCACGTCGTCTCCCGCATGTGGAGTGGGAATTTGAGGGGGCCGCTGAAATGCCACAACAAACTGAGAGCGATCGAGAATCTGAAGGCTTGGCATGAAGAGATGTCTTCCGATGCGAGAGCTCTTCTCGACCAGACCGGGCTGTCACATTTGGTCGACACCCACTTGGACACCCCACTCATTTCTGCTTTTGTGGAGCGATGGCAGCCGGATACTAACTCGTTTCACCTGCCTTTTGGTGAAATGAGCATCATGCTGCACGACGTCCGGGCCATTTTGGGCGTTCCAGTGGAGGGAGCCGTGGTCGCTGAGGACCCGGATTCGGAAGCCTGCCATGGGCTCTGCATGTCGATACTTTCGGTCACCAAGGGCGAACTCATGAGTTCGTTATGGCAGCGTGGTTCGGTGTCCGAAGCCGCCATTTCGGGGGAATTCAGGGGGAAAGACCGGCCGGCTAGGGATGAGGCGAGTGCCTGGATGTGGGTGATGCTAGCTACCACATTGTTCGTCGACAAGAGTGGTAGTAGAGTGACCCCCAAGCTCCTGCACGAGGTGCTCGACGGCTTGGATTTGATTGGGGGTTACTCATGGGGATCGGCTACGCTAGTATACATGTACAGACAGCTAGGTATTGCCAGCCGAGGGGACTCTACCCAGATGTCGGGCTGCTTGACTCTTTTGCAGTCTTGGATATATGAGTATTTCCCCGATTTTCGACCTCGGGGGCGTCTACCCATCGGTCCTGACTGTCTCGCACGATCACGCTCGTGGAGCGTAGGGAATGCGCCACGGTCAGACGATCGGCTCACAGCCATCCGTCGGCGCCTCGACAGACTCACTGCCTCCGATGTATGTGAAGTTATTTTATTTAAATTTAGTTACCCGTTATTTAAAATAATATAATTATTTTTATAAATGCTCTTATGCAATTGTGAACAGGTGCAATGGTTGCCATACGGCAGCTCCAGCCCAGATGCGATAGAGCCGAGGACTCTTTATAGCGGATTGATTCGATACCGCGATGTCGTCGAGCCGTACTTGCCTGCGCGGTGTCTGCGTCAGTTGGGGTATGTCCAGACTGTTCCTCCCCCTACATACCCGTCAATCAGTACAGTACGTACTTGGGAGTCTAGGAACTACAGGGTTGAGCATTCTGAGGCTGCTGCAGTAGGTGCCTGGACTCAGTTCCCGATTTCTGGGACGGTCAACACCGGTATGTTGACCCCCACCACACAGGATCGCGGGGAGGAGACTGAGGATTACCTGCAGTGGTACAGTCGGGTTTCCCATCCGACTCTCATGGGCGAGGAGCTGCCGGACGAGAACGAGGTCCCAACGCGTGTCAATACCGCCTATGTAAGTTGGTTACTAAATTTTAATTAATGTTATTTCATTACAATAATTTTTTTTAATAAATTTTAGTCTTATCTTTTTATTCTTCCATTTTTTTAGTGGGTGGATCGTCTTTTGGGCATTATATCGACCATGCAGCAGTTTCTTGTTGAATGTCCAGAGGCGGCGCAAGTCGAAGAAGATTTTGCTAAGTTTAAGTTGGATTACGACAATACCTAATAATGATGTAATGAATGTTTTTTTTTTAATTATTATTGTAAAACATTAAGGTGAATGATTTTTCTTTTTTCTATTTATTATTTGTAAAACATTAAGTTGAATGGTTTATATTAAAAATAAAATAAAAAAATACCATTAATGTGATTTTCGATTGCCCTGTAATACGAACGTATGTTCCGGCGCTTCGAGACATGCTCCCAGGAGAACGAGCATGTCTCGAAGCAGCGGAACATACGTTCGTGTTACAGGGCAATCGAAAGTCGCATTAATGGTATTTTTTTTTCATTTTTAATACATTAATCATTCAAATTAATGTTTTTTTTTTGCTAAACTTAAGTAAGTTGAATGAGATTTTTTTTTTTTCTCATTGTAAATCATTAAGTTGAATGGTTTTTTTTTATTTTTTTGCTAAACTTAAGTTGAACTGATTCATTTATTTTTTTTTTATTTGCTAAACTTAAGTAGAATGAGAAGCGTCACACCACAAGTGAATAATATCGTTCTTTTATTCAAGAAGGTTTTGTTTGAACAGTATACCACAATTGCAACCTAGACACGTACTAATGCTACCAACCCACAACCGATTGATCTCAGTAACGGAACCACATGGAATGAATAGACGGTAATGGACAATCATCAGTCAAATCTAAACGAATGTAGTGTGCTACAGTACCAAGATGGCAAATGGCAATCTCACGACGTGGTCCTCTAGCCGATGATCGTGCAGTGAGAGGCAACACTGTGATGCTGAATTAGTCGTGCTGCCCACCTTGCGAAGCAGAGCTCAAATGAACGACAACCACATTAAATATACTCGCTGCTCACGGCCAAATGCATAAGCTGGGAAGGAACGTCTCTACCGTCGGAACTCTCTCTCCGCAGCTTATCTCTAAAGTTATATACCTGTCAGCGATTAGCGTTAATTATAATGATTATTATAATTTAAAACAAAAAAATTATTATATTAATAAATAAAAAAGTATATTAATGCGATTAATTTGATAAAAAAATAACTAACTATCACAATAATAATACATTAGTAAATATAATAAAATTTATTAATTATTACAATAACTTTTACATATAAAAAATTACTAATTATCATAATTAACTTCAAAAAGTTAATTAAAACATATATTACAAGATATAAATATATATACCTATCGCACATGAACGTTGTCTCCCGGATTCTTTTCCTTCAACGCGGCCATAATTTTTGCCGGGGCCACCTGAGCGTCCGTCATATCACGAACAATTTTCTTAGATGAAGCGCTGAGGCCGCTCAACTGGCGATGACCCTCAGGATACACAACAAATGCATGGTTATGGTAGCCTTTCTCTTCATTGCTACATCTACAGATCCTCCAGTATGGAGTGCCGGACACCTT